TGATGTGATAGAAGTGTAAGTCCTAGCTGTTGCATGGTACACAGTTTTTGAAGAATGTGGTAGTAGGCGGTGAGCATGAAATCACCTATTCTTTAACAAAGTATATCAACTCCAAATAGTAAAGCAAGAGCAGAGATCTGGCTGGACTTCTCCAACTAACCCCAGAGTAAAACCTCAGGATCTTCAGTTCAACAGAATTCTTACTCGTTTTGCTAAGACAGGTTAGAAAGAAAGACACATATGTCTTCATTCTACTTACAATGAGGATATCAACCTCATACATTGAAAGTGATGTATTCTGTAAACTAGTACGAAGTAACACCTTTTGTCCCTTGGTTTGTATTTTATATCTGCAAAGTGCCTGAACTTGAAAAGTGAAAAGTTAGCGTGTAAGCCAGGGAGCAAGGTTTTACAAGAAGCAAAATCTGATAATGCCAATGGTCCTTTGAATAGCTTCCAATTTGCAAACTGAGAAAACCAGTGCAACAGTTAAGGAAAAAACAGACTGTTGCTATTGGAGTAAAAGGAGGTGAATGAAAATGGGAGACCCTTCCTGGAAATTCTTTTTATATTATCACCTGACAGGAATGGGCTTGCTCATGTTTCAAATGCAATTCCAATGGAACTAATTACCGTATTTACCCGAATCTAAAACAACACTGAATTTAAGACAACTCTCCAATACTTGGATTATATACACAGAATATTATAATCTAATTATTGGATTACTGAGTGGATATCTTAATTTTCAGACATTGGAGTTTCATCATAAGATTTGTCAGGATATGAGGAGAACCGAGCCGGCACACACTAATCAAGACATGGGACTCTGACTCTGGGAAGTCAGACCACCACTTACTGGCAATCTCTAATGCACAATATAAGAGATCAAAACCTGAATAACTGCTTCAGGGATCCTGGCTTTCTCCATTTAAAAATCACAAATTCTCTGATTTAAAAAAACACCAAATCCACGATTAAAATGAAATGCCACTATATATATGTCAGTACTTATATATATATGTATCAGTTGAGCACAATATTTAATTGATATATTAAAATTTTAAAGCAATTTGGAAGCCTACCAGTGCCTCAATCACTATAACAAAATAAATTCTAAATACCTATAAATTCTGCCATTTGATTTTGGGTTTTTAATCATGGAAAAGCAGAGCTCTCCCTTCCCCCTTTGCTCACCAGGACATGGGTTCACCTGAGGTTGCCTCCCGCCCCTGCTAATTTGTGGCACTGAGCAGTCCTGACATACTGGTGCCCTGCCCACGCCATTGCCCCTCATTACTAACCTACAGCCCTGCTGTTTCCCCATCGCTCCTGACCCTCAGTCCCCTGGGCCCTGCTTGTGCCTCTCATTTGCCACCCACAGCCACCCACATGCTCCAGCCTTGCTGGAGGGGCCCCCAGCTGCCAGAGCTACAGGGCCAGGGACCCAGGTCCACAGCCCCCTGCCCCCCACAGTATTGCCTAAGCTCTGGCTGCCACCCATGGGAGCAAGTGGTTGCTGCAGTGGTGTGGAGCCCAGCTTCCCCTTTCCCCACGGGCAGCACAGCCAGAGTGGAGCCTTTGGGGAAGGAGAGGGGGAGTGGGTGGGTGCGGGCTGCTGCCCTTCCCCTGGAGGTTCTGTAGTCCAGCAGGTGGCACCCGGCATGGCAGGGCAGAGTAAGGCTGGGTGGGGAGGCTTGTGCTGCCACTGGGAGCCCTGCACTGCCATGGAGAAGCACTCCCTGCCTGTCTGGCAGCAGTATGGGGCACAACTCTGTGCTACCATTCCTGTTGCTGCCAGGCAGGCAGGGGGTGCCTCACCATGGCAGCATGTGGCTCCCAGAAAGAGCACAAGCTTCCCTGCCCCACTCTGTCCTGCTGTGCTAGGTCCACTGGGCTACGGAGGTCCTGGGGTGAAGGCAGCAGAGCAGGGAGCCCAAGCCTGCGGCAGGCAGCTCACACCTGCCCTGAGAATAAATCTGGGGGGCACATGCCCCCCAGGGCCTCCCCCCGGGAGTGCATGCAGCAGCAGGGAGCCAGTCTCCCCTGGCCTCTGGATGAGCCACTCATGACTCCATCTCATTTGCTGCCTGGGCCCTGTGGCTGCGCATTCTGGCCCCAGACCCCAAACCCCATGCACTGTCCAGGCTGGGAAGCAGCCCCAACCCAACTCCCTCCCTCCCTCACTATGGCCCCAATTCCCCTCCTCACCATGTGCCAGACTTATGTGCAGGAGCTGCTCCCCAGGCTGCAGCTATGTGCATGTGTACATGCATACATGCACATGGAACCCTCTGCCTGACCGCCCTCCTCCCGCTGTCCCCAGCCCCTTGCTGTCTCAAACTCTGCCACCCTGCAAGAGGAAGCCCACCATTTCCCACACTTTTTTCCTTTAAAGGAGAAAATCCAGGCTTTTCTCCTGAAAATGAGAAAACCCATGTTTTATTGCATTTTTCCATGGTGAACAGAAAACCCAGATCCCTGACAATCATACATGTGCAGACAAAAATTGACAATTTTCAATTGTACCATACCCAAAGAAGTTCTGGAAACACATTTTAACATCAGTGTTTAATTTCCAGGATACGAGTTATTCAGTTTTATAGCTAAGTAATGTATACTTTTGTAATTAAAGAAGTCCAACCTATAGATGATATGCTCTCCTGTGCAGATGGTCAAAACAAAATACAAAAGGGCTTTGCTGTACTGAGTTCAAATGGTTTAACACCTTGCAGTACTAAGCTTTACATATTCTCCATATGTTTACATTAAGCATTTTAGTAATCCCAACAAGAACACTATCCCTACTCATATTCTTAAATGGGGCCAGAATAGCTTTGTCTTGACCCTCTGCAGACGGGTGAACTTCTTTTAAACATCAGCTCTGTTGTACCTGTGCTACATAATATTGTAACCGCCACATAGGGATGTGTGAAATGGGACATATTTGATTCGGATTTGGGGCAAATCGGGGACAGTGATTCGATTTGTTGATTCGGATCACTGTTCCCAGTTTGGCCGAATCCGAATCTAAAGATTCGATGCTGATTCAGAGAATCAGTGATTCAGCCATAGACACAGCTTTAAATGTTTTTTCTACATACCTCAAGGTACCAAGTGTGGCTCGTGAATGCTGTGATCCTGGGGCAGATGGAGCATCCCACAGGAGCGTGGGGGGCCCCCACATGCTTGGCAACGAACCCAGAAGTGGACCGGTAGTACTTCTGGTCCACTTCAGGGCCTGCCAGGGAACGCACAGGGCCCTGAGCCCCCCAGCTAAGCAATCGGCCACTGGGGGACCTTGGCTGCCTCCCCAGACCCAGGAAGCACCAGTCACCAAGCTCGGGAGGTGCACAGGAGCCCCCCCGCGCACTCCCTGGTAGTCCCGAAAGTGGACTGGAAGTGCTTCTGGTCCACTTCCGAGTCTGCTGCTGAGTGCGCTGGGGAGCCCCCTGCACTCTTGTGGCACATTCCATCTACCCCAGCATCTCAGCATTCACGAACTGCCTGGTACCTTGAGGTATGTAGAAAAAAAAAAAATTAAAGCTGCGTCTATGGCTGAATTGTCGAAACTTTCTGCACCTCTGAATCAATTTGGAGGGTTCCAATTCAATTCGGAGAGATTAAAGGGTCTCCTGATTTGATTCAGATTTTGAGATCTGGCCACCAAATCATGCCGAATCGCCGCCAAATCAAATCAGGGACTGAAGCTTCGCACAGCCCTAATAATTACAAGATACCTTTCATGGCAAACTGTAGGGGATGTTTCATGGGACTGTGCAAGAATTGTATTGGTCTGTTTTGAATCACCAGTGCAACAGTAAAAATGCTGACAGACAGTGCTGGTTAAGTTCATCTAAAAAAAAAGGGTTGGACCCAGCTTTTCAGAAAACTTGACATTTTGCCTAGCAAGATGTCCAGAGTGCAAATAGCCCACACAGTATTTGTACCTGCATTACATTCCTAGATGCACAAATACTCAATACTACCCATGGCCACTTCTTTCCTGCACACCACCTTCTTTCACTCACTTGTAATGCTCCCTGGTATCCAGTGATCCCCTAGCTTAGTACATCTAACTTTGTTTTTTATAGGCACTCTCTTCTTGTACTTCTTGTAATTGAATGACACATGAGTATCTAACTCTCCTCCAGTTCCCTTGATTCTTCCTTCAGGGCTCACCTATCTTTATATTATAGATTTTTTTTTACCTACTTTTAAAGTTATTTTTCTCATCTTCTCTGCTTCATATTTAACATTGTATTGATTTATTGTTTTGCATATATTGTGGGCCCCTTCCCTGGTTACTCCCCCTCTTCATAACTTCTCCTGCAGATGAGAATGCTATACAGTGCTGGGATGGAAGAGGTGATTGGCAGTGATGGGAGAGCAGACCACATACATTAACATGGCTGACATGAGTGCCAAGAGATGGTAAGATCAGTTTGTCAAGTTGTTTTTGGGAATGAAGAGGAGCCAGATTGCTATACAGAATTGTCACTGCACTTTGACTGTGTGTAGTGAAGGTATGGAGGAGGATGAGGAAGGTAAGATCAAGGGTCATGCAATTTTACTTATTTCCACTATTCCTTTCATTCCCCCAGCATCCTACCTCGGATTATTCTACTCTCTCTCAAGAGAGGAAAAACATACTTTTTGTGGATGGCTGATAAGCCCAGCAGAGAACCAAATAAAAAAGAATTCAGAAGAGATCACCTTTATGGCTTTGACAAGTTGGATGCCTGTGCGGAAGCTCCCATTAGAGTAGAACTATATCACTGTCAAGGCTTGAAGCCAGTATGCAAAAGAATATATTAAAGAAACACTACAACTTTATGAATAAATATATTTCTGACAGACTGAAATTACACCAGGGTGAGCCCCAAGTTTGAATGAACTTGAACAGCAGTCATCCAGACAATAAGTGAATTTTAGCAAAAGAAAAGAGTAAATGATATACTGTAGTGAAATGGGGCTAATAGAATCAGAATAATTATTACCTGAGTGAATGATTCCTGGTGAGATCTGGTTGACGCTCCTGTAGAATTTCAAAGATATTGGGCTGTCGCAGGAATGCAACAATTTTGTCATTATAGGCTGCAAATGTCAACAGAAGACATCTTACTGAACACTAATGTTATTTGAACAGCAACATAACATTTCTTGTAATTTTTAAAAATGACAATGACAGTAAAGTTGAGCTTTATTTTCATTTATTACACTAACAGTACTCTATTGTAAAAAATGTCTAAATTGTGCTTTAGATAGAAAAAAAAATCTTGTTTATGAATCAAATCTGATTCAGAACATGCCTTCATAAAAATTAACAATGTGACTTTTTCAGATGTTTCATCAAGCAAACCATAATTTCATGTTAACCTAGTAAACATATTTGCATGACTTCATGAAGGATCTTATTATCCACTGTCCTGCATCCTGTGCTATCATGTATATCAATGCAAAATGATGGCTTAATTCACTAATTTTTAAAAAGCATTTTGGGTTGGAAAGCAATATACACCAAGTTATTTTATATTGTTCAAGAAGAGAGGATTTGAATTTTTAATGGGAGTAACAGGGGCGTGAATTTGAATTGATCTGACCTGAATTCTTTTCTTGAATACTTCACTGAAGGAACATAAAAAACTACTATAATCAATATTTTTGCCCACTTTACATTGACAACTATACAAGTTACTGGGCAATAAAGAATCATATACATTAATAATAATATATTTTTGGATTAGTCAAACGGCAGTGCTAGATGGGAATATAAACTCACAAATTAGTTAATAGTAAACTAGCTGGTATAGCACAAATTTCTTATTAGCATACACAAGGTAAATAGTTAGGTGCTCTGCATTTGCTTCCAACTCTATTTTTTCTTGAAAAATACCAGCCTTTCTATTTGACTCATATTAATGGTCTGATCAAGTCCCACAAAACCAATACATTGAAATATATGGCTGCAAATCCATATTTCTACCCAAGCCTTAATTCATGCTGCTTTTTTGCCTGGTTATTATAATTCCAGGCACTTATGGTATGGTTTTCTTAAACTATGGACACTCATTACATTTGTAGTGCCACAAATGCCCTTGTAGTGCCACAAAAATAGCAGATCCACCACAACAGCTTGTGTGTCTACAGCACTGTGGGAACAACCACCATAGTGACTGGTGCCCCAGAAGCAATGGCAAGACGTGGTACACTCACAGCAGAGGCAGCACTGAGTGCTGAGGCATTACAAATGAACGCATGTCCATAGCCTTAGATTCTACAATGGTATGAGGAATAACCAGTGTTTCTCCCTTAATTATAAATGTCCTTATCTTAAGGGATTGAAAGCTTGACAGATTTAATTCCACTTCTTTGCTGTAGTGAAATAAATCAAATGTATAAATATTTATTCCTGTACAAATTTACCTTCAAAATTTTGTATCTTGTATACTCTTATACTCTTGCTAACTTTCTATACTTTTGTAGCTCCACTGTTTCATCACTGAGAACTAAATCTCCCTTCCCCCTACTCATGATTTTGATGCATCACATCAAAACACAATGTGGAGCTTTTCTTTCAGCTCTTCAGCATTTATTTAACAAACACCATTTACACAGCTGGACACATTTCTGATGACGTGTGCAATTCTACCACCGGACAGACAGGCAGCCAACTTGTATTTTTCTGTATTTCTAAACTACCAAGAGCAAACATGTGCACCATGGGAGTAGGCTTCAGTTACTAGTGAAGCTTCCAAGGACAACTATCGAACAATAGAGCCCAAATTATTGCAAAACTATTTAAAATGCATTTGTCAATGACCATCTTAATTCTTTGTCATTATTTGTCAGTTTATGCCAAAGACAATAAATGAATTTAAAGTATTTCTTTAATGTATGTATATATCTTTAAAGTGGTTCTATCTACCAAGTTAGTGTCTATCCAAAGGTTTTGTGCCTGTTCCATTGTCAATTATTCAACCACCATTAAAGTATCTTTGTTCAATGTAGCACAAATCCTAAACCTGAATAAAGCAGCATGGGAAAGGAGGTTAAATTAACTGTGATTGTCAAGTAAACATGACACTGAACCAAAAGCCAATCATAGTCAATCAGATGAATAAATCTTGATTTTTTTGCATAATATGATAGTTGTTAAATTCAATGACTTGAATTCTGTTCTTTGTGGTATCAAACTCAGTGAGGTTGTGGATATGTAACTGGGAACTGAATTTAGGCTAGTGACCAATTCCAAGAAGACTTCTAGCCTTTGGCAGGTCTGTGAAATAAAAACTCAGTGTGGAATCCAGGTTGATAGAGAATCTGGCCCACTATCTGAAACTTTTCTGCCTCCTTCTCAGGGAAAGTTAAACAGGAATTTCAATGCAAGGAAGCCTTTGTTTTAACTAGCAAACATTTCCACATTAACATGACTCTGCACGAAAACTTTTCCATGTACACAGATGGAAATTCCTTAACAGAAACTACTGGTAGAAAGGTTGAACCATTATACAAAGTACTACACCAAACAGAAACACCCCAGCAGGGAAACCTGACATGCATAGTTAAATCGACATAGGCCTCTCTGAAGAGAATCATGTGCACTGACATACCCACTGGAACAATGTCCTGATACTGCGCTCTACTGACTGTATTAAATGTGCTTGATGGTCTTGGTAAAACTGGTGGTCCTGAATGACGGGAGTCCTCTCCTACCTAAAAATACAGTAAGAATTAAGGTCAGCACCAAGCAAAACTGGCTTCAATCCACCAAAGCACTTAAGTACATGATCAGTCGTATTAATACGGGTGTGGTTACTTAGGTAAACTGAAGTTAAGCACATGCATAGGAACTCTGCTAAATCAGAATCAATATTCCCACTAATTGCAACAGCAGGAGTTATCTGTAATGGAAGAAAATTATGAAAACTCAGCATCTACTATATTGTGTTTATGCAATCTAAGCAACAAGAAACATTAATTTGGGCCATTTTTCTACACACTTCCAACACAGCGCCAGGCACTTTTCATTAGTAAACCACACTAATTAAAAGCACCCACACATCATGTATCAGCAGCATAGCACACCTCTGTGCTGAGAAAAGGCAGCGGTGTACTTTGAACTAAAGCACATCGAATGTGTTTTAATTCAAAGCACACCACTGCCATTTTCTCAGTGCAGAGGCATGCTGCATCACTGAAACACAATGCATAAGGCTGCCAGAGCGCATCAAATTACATGCTCCAGCAGACTCAATTAATCGAGTCTACTCCAATGCACTACATTTCCAGTGTGTTGGAGCAGGCTCCCCTTCATGTGTGCAGCTGCTCTTGGAGTTTCTTGGGCATTGTGAGGTTCTATATTTACTGCTTTTCAACTACCTCTAACTTCCAGCTGTGGCAAGTCAATCTGGGTTTTTAGAACTAAGATTTCATCTTTAATTCCTTGCATTTTTTAAATCAACAGAAAATATTTCTGTGATAACTGCCATTAGTTGAGTTTGCCAAGTCTAACTGACTGTGGACAATTTTGTGAACACAGTATCAGTAAATGGAGGAATGAAAGTCAGCCTGCACTCTGCAGGACAAACAGAAATAAAAAGCTGTAAAGCCACATTTATTTCATCACTGCAGAGAACAGATAAGATTTTGAATTTCCACAAGGAGCACAAATGTGTTACAGATATGTAGTTGCAGTATTTTTCACTGTAAAACCACATCCTTTAGTTCCTAGTAGTGACCATGATGTCTGAGCAGCTTCTGCAATATGCTGTTGTGAACTTAATATTGTTGCATTAACATTAGTTTTTTGCATTTAAAAACTAAATGCTTGTCATTAAATTGCCCTTTGCTTAATATATGCACGAGGGTGCTTCAGTGTGGGGGCTGCCTGCTGGCTGGCCACACACTGGAGCACACTTGTGCCCCAGCCATCCCTTTTGCAGCATCTTTAACCAGGTCAGAGCAGCCCTGTGGTGGCAGGCTCATCTCCCAGGCACTCTGCCAGCCAGAGCTGCACTGACTCAGCTCAACATTCTACAGTCCCAAGTGCATGTGCACACATGGTGCCCAAGAGCAATAAACTTTGGTGTGGTAAGTGCTGGATTTTATTGCATTGCATTAATATGTTCATGTAGATGTGCCCAGATAGTACAAAATGGTACGTGCCAGCCATATGCCATTCACCCCTCCCTACCTCAACCTAAACCATGCCAAAGGTGGAAACTGGCAAGGAGGGCATCAAGGATGGGAAAACCTTCCCACAGATTGGTCCTGAACGTGGGGAGTGAAAGAAATCTTACAATCACATTTCCCACCTTATTTCTGAATTGTGCTGAAAGAAAAAGCAATAGAGCTGAGATGTGATCCCATAGTATTTACATCTGACATAAATATGAATAGTATGATTGATTCAGAGGCTCCTAGTGATGACCCAGTTCAAGAGCTATGTAATCAAAACCCCAATACAGAATTTTATTATTCTATAGAATTTTAAAGCATTTCTCACTTGAATCCATATTCTAAATATTTCTAATTTTACAAATTCCATATGTTATATCAGATGGACCACAAATGTCTGATATTCTGTTCATGGTAACAGGAATATTTACATTTACTTTTCTATGATGCTAAGGCTTAACAGGGCATTATGAATAATACTTTTTTGCTACATCACTGATTCCCAACATTTTTAGACTTATGGCACCCTTCAGAAAATTCCAGCTCTTAGTTCTCACTCACTTTTGACTACAGAAAAATAATAGAGCAAGTCTTCTGTTGCAAAGAACTAGAAAAGACCAAAACAGATCAGAGTGCTTTTTGACACCATAGACTCCTATTTGAAACCTCTGGGTTTATCTTGTGAATCATGTTTGCACACGTAACAATGCTAAAATTGTGTGGCACTCTGAGGTACCCTGGGTTAGAATCACTGAGCTACATGAAACCTACCTATTTCCTTAGACACTTCCCTAGTCAGTGTAAATTACCATAGGTAGTAAAAAGCAGGTTCCTGCTGTATTCAAGAGCCCTCATGTGGTTTAATGGGTAACTACAATATAACAACAATAAATACATTCTGATTGAATCATTATCAAATCGTACCTTTGAGGGTCTTAAGTAGTGAGAAAAGAGGTTATAATGTTGGCAGGTTGATCACACCAGTGGAACAATTAAAATACTAAAAGAATAATGAATGTTTGCATGTAATTACATTCATATATTCAAAACTGAAATCCTGGAGGTGAAGATTAGGCTTACCTCACCCGCACTATGGCTGCGCTGTCTGGTTAAATGCTGCCGATGAACTAATGCACTAGTAGGCCTGCTACTCTGCAAGGGAAGCCGGGGATCGATGAATGTGGTGGCGCGGGAATTGTGGTCAACAAAAAAAGCCTGGAGGAGGGAAAAAACAGAGCGTTCACTTGATCTGAACCAACATGCACTGTAAACTAGGCCATTTCTAACCGCACCTTCCCTGCAGTAAGCATACTTGCCAGAGGGAAAGCAGCTGTGGGTTAAATACAGAAGATCTGGATTCTAGTCACTACTTTAAGAAGTTACTTCATTTTACTGTACCTCATCTTCCCCTTCAGCAAACAAGAATAACATTCCCCAGCTCATAGGGGCATTATAGGACTTACTGGCTTAACCCACTAATATTTTATAAGGCAGTCATGTATACTCAGTTGAGAAGCATCATAGAAATGCCCAATTATATCATGGTATAATTATTCAAGAAGAGAGGATTCTAATTTTTTACAGGAGCAACAGGGTCCAGCAATTCATTTTCCTTATAAGCAGCCAAAAGGAGGTCACTTAATGGCAACAACATTGCTCTTTAAAAGCTATTTACCTTATGAATATGAACACAAGTGGGTGTGTATGTATCTTAAGCCTATGATTATGGTCCTATGACACAATGTGATTACAGATATGTTCACTGTCTTCCTGCTGAAATCCTTCATGGTTGAACAACCTACAAAACTCAGCTGAGGTCACAGAGAACATACCGCTAAAATGTGATTAAAAATTCAAGACAGGCCCAAAGGTTTCATGGGATGAGAAAAAAACAATGAGTATTGTTTGGCTCACCATTTTCTGAAACAGGACCACACGATCATGAGGAAACTCAGAAGCTGCAGTACAATTAGAGCAAAAAGCCTCTGTATTTCAAGATTGAAACTTGTTCCAGTTTTAGTGTGGCTCTGGGGAAACATTTCCTTGCTATTCTCATGCTTTTGTGGGCCTTCAGCCATGGTGAAAAAAATACAGAGCTATCTCAGAAGAATATTTAAGTTCAGGGAGAAGGATTTACAGCAAAACAAAACATGCCTCTGAGGAAGCAAGGAATATAAATCACAAAGCGGTTAGTGTGGCTTGTTAATATTACTTCTATTTTTCTATGCTTGAGAGGCATTCAAACATGATGCTTATGAAAATAGATAGGTAGACACTAAATCTATTCAATCTAAATCCATTAAGTGTGACGACCTGCTTTTTTTTCCCGCCTTCTCCTGAGTTGGTAATTTGGGTCTATTGAGAAGGAACCAGTTCCTCTTCTGAGCAGTATGAAAACAAACAGACAGAAGAACAAATGAGTTATACCAGTGCAGAGTGAAGCATTACTGTTTATTATAACAGGGATCAAGAAACAGCAGGGCAAGGGGTATCACTGATGCAAGTCAATGCAGCAAGGCACTGCTCACGTAGACTGGGGGAAAAGTGGGGAGATTCTAGGGCCTGCCCCACAGCATGTAGCCTGAGCAGTGAGAGGCCCAGGAACAGCACAGAAGTTGGACACACTTGATTTAGCAGAAAGTTTCCTGGGTAGTAAACTGTAAAACGTGTTTGATAACTGCAATGTGTTAATAGCAATCTTTGGGCTTTGAACTGATAGAGTCCACTTTTGCCAAGCAGTGATGTCATTTGTGGCACCAGTAATGTAGACTCCAGGTATTATAGAAGTATGAAAGCGAAGTGAAAACTGTTTTAAAATCTCAATGCTGGTCTTAGAAGTGGTGGGGTGGCAGCTGTTCAATGGACCCAGGAATCTAAGGTGCTTATGCTCCTGGTTGATGATTTACTTTTCCCTGCTAGCAGGTACCCAGAAATATTTTGAAAACTCCACTGTCTAATATTTTATCTAATTGGATCTACCAATATTGTAAAGAAAGTGAGTCAATTTTCATTAGCTCAAAGTCTGAGTTCAACAGATCAACCTTATGGTACAGTAGAATTAGAAAAAACAATCAATAAAAATATTGATTCAATAGAAAAGAGAATTCTGCTTGGACACACATTGCCACATTAAGTCAGCGATTTGTGCAATCTAACACAGTATGTAATACTTTTTCATGCATACACTTAAATAAGATATGCTTAAAGACTATATTAAAAATGATCACATCTTATTAAGCATGAATGCTTGTAGGCACGCCAGTGGCAACCTACCATATAACAAAGCATATATTTACTATATTGAAAATCCATTAAAGAAAATCATTGTAACTTCAAAGCTCAGAGTTAATCTGGACACTGACATCACAGGTAGAAACTCAGTCTAGCACAAAAAACAAAACTAAATCTAACATTATGGAAATTTTCACCACTGCTCTGAAAAACAAAATTTACAACAGTTAGGCAGAGAGACTTGGTACCTTGGCTTGGCCAAAAGCTACTTGTATAGCACCAAGACCTATAGCTGTTTAAATAAAAAATGAGCACTTTAAGTAAAAAGCTGTGAATGCTCATTAAAATAGTTTAATTCTGATGTTTTTCATTTGTATATTATATAATATATGCACACAAATTCACACAGGAAAATAGGAAGTAAATTATTTTAACAGGCATTACAAATATGTTAAAGTTAATATCCATAAATATATTTAATGTATCTTTAAATACATTAAATTTAGCAACTGCATTATACACACACAATACTCAATTTGACCGTCTTTAAATAATAATGAATTCAACAATTAAACCATAAACAATCACTTTACTGTATGAAAAGATTTAATACAAAATATATGTATATACATTTACATGTATGCCTGACTCTACCCTATCAGCCTACATATGTTGAGAGAGGGAATACAAAAACACAGATACAAAGATGCTTTTTAGTTCAGACCCCAAGATTTCAGAAGTCCTGTGTATTAATCTCCACAGAGTTCAATCAATGTACCTCAGTTCACAAACAAACAGAGAGGAGAGGGAAGATAACCATTTGGGAGTAGGGGCAGCTTGTTCTCTCTGCCCCATACATGTTTACTCTGTGTTGCTTTTGAAATCAACTTTAATGTATTTGTAAGTTAATGGGCAACTGAAAAATCATGGAGTATGTCTTAACTGCTGCACAACAGGGTAAAGGTATGTTCATTCTGAACATGAGAACTAAACAAAATAGAAGAAATATTTATGTATTGTGGTATGGCCAGAAATCTCTCTCCCTCTTTGGCCAAGCAACGCAAGAAGCATTATATAGTTCAGTTATTCCTAAACTAGGAAAAGGAATGGGAAGGTAATAGGATAATATAGGAGAAACCCCCCCCCCCCATAAAGCAGAGTAAAGTAACTGATTGCCACTTTACAGTAGAAAAAACTCTTTTTTACAATGCTGGATCCAATGCCCAATTTCAGCACACAAGACCAGAAGGGGCAGTGCCAGGCCCCAGTGCCCTATCCTGGTGGGAGGGAGGAGCTGGGAAGTGGGGTGCCAGCCCCCAGGATTCAATCCCAGTGCAAAGGGAGTACAAGGGTGCTGGATGGCACCAGCACCTGGGGACCAAATCCTGACACAGAGGGGGCAATAGGAAGTGGTGCCATCCCTCACAAGACCCAAGTGGTTCCATCCCCCCAGGACCGTTGCACAGGTAGCAGCAGTCCTGAGCCCCATCCTCTATCAGGCCCACAGACCACTCCACCTAGCCTGAAGACAGACCCTGTGCTACCCATCTGGTCTTAGAGCCAAAAGGTCGAGCACCACTTGTTTAGACAGATGTTTCTGTCTTGAGCAAGGGGTTCTATTAGATGACTTCCAGAGGTTCCCTTCACGCCCTATGATTCAATGATTTTTTTATTCGCTTAGTTTGTTCATAGTGCTAATAAAAATGTATTTCTCATCAAAACTCATATCTCTATTACCTCCTCACATTCTAAATCTATATATGCTTATTCCTTCCTATGCTCCTGCAAAAGGATTAAGAAAAAATCCTGGATAATGATACCACAGAAAAGGCCACTGCAAACTCTAATTGGTCATCCTAGCTTTCTTTAATTTTTTAAATTTTTCTTATAACTTTGAAGATGATATGACCACATTTAATACAAAATCATATAAAAAGTAAGTCTAATTTTCCCATTTTCAGCAGGACCCAATAATACTTTTCTAGAAATAAAAAGAAGCACTTCCAATATCCCATTAACTTCAAGTAAGAAAAATTAACGTAGAAACCCAAGAGAAAAATTAAACTGCCCCTGGCTGAAGAAACCACAGCTTAACTTTACTAACAATGAATGTTTCTCATCCAGTGAATGGTCATTTAAAAATAATTAAGACCTCTATACATCACACTCTAACTTTAAAGTATAAAAAGCCTTCCAATACAACCACCCAAATCAGTTATTAGTTGGCAAATTATCAACACTTTCTATCAGTATTTATTGCCAGTCTTAAGCCCCATGCAGCCCAAAACTGATTTAATTCCCAAAACCAATCCGATCTAAATGTATTATATTTCTTCTGAGAAGCTGATCAATATTGGCTTTATGTAATACTTGGATGTTCCTTCAGGAACATCAGGTGCTGTTTAGGAAAACAAATATGGTGGCAATAAATTCTGTTTGAGAGACTTTGGGGAGGAAGAAATTGAACCTTTATAAAAAGTCCTACAAAATCAAACCAATATGGCTTAATAGATTTTAAAGTTGCAGAAAAAGCACAAAAGCATAATAGGCCAGTGTGAACAGGAAAAAGTCCTAAGAAGACAAAAGAGCTACATGCATTTGGCAGAGAAGTCTACATTTCTACAGTTTGGGTATGTGCAGATGTTCACCATACCTTACTTTAAGCCGTGTAATTGTAGATTGGGAGTGACACGTGTAAACATTTGCCAGTGCGGGAGCCATGCTAGGAATGTGGAGTAAGTCAGGGTAGGAGGAGGAATGGGCAGGATCAGAGGGCAGCAGGGGACTAGTGAATTCACAGTGGGGGTTGGTAGGTTGAGGGAAGAGGGGACTGATAAGTCTGTGGGGGATCTAGTGGCCGGTTACAAAGTAGTCAGAGGGGACCAGC